GGCTGATGACTAAAAGGAAAGCATGGGGTCCAGGAACTGACTGTTCAATGCACTCCTCAATTTTTGCTTTCACTTCATCTTGTGTTTTGTTTGTGCCAAACAGCCCTGGAGTGTCAATCACAACAATTTTTCTTCCACTTTTCTCTACCTCTTTTCTGAGACAGCCATCAGTAACAGACTCAGGTGACATGCCCTCTTTGAAAGCATTTGTATCCCCCAGAATGGTGTTTCCAGACGCACTCTTTCCTGATCCTGTTTTACCAACCAGGATGATTCTCAGTTCTTCATGATTTGCAGAGTCTGTGGGAAATTAATGATAACATTTGAATTAAGTGAAGGAGTGTGCATGAGTGACACGACTTTTGACAGTGATTCTGTGCTTGCAGTTTTTATGTCCTAGTAACCTCTTAATGTTACTGTAGAAGTTAATAACTGCACAAATAAGTGGCTGAAGGCACTTCACTGTATAGTCTTGAGACTTGCCATTAAAGTGAGTTTGACTGTTTACCTTAAGAAACAACATTCAACTTTATTTGTTTTATATACATAAATATATGTTTTCAAATTCAGAAACATTAAACTGACTCCAGAAAACAGATTTTATGGATGAACAAGGCAAAGTACGAAACTAGGCTATTTGCTAATAACGTGTTAAATAAAATATATGTTTATAACATGTTATAAACAAATTTTCTGCAAATGAAGTCATTTATACTGCAACATATGTGAACACTTGTTATGTTTATGTATTCATGACAAACCGGCTATGCAAGTTCTTATTCTACTTACCTTTGTGTTGATTTTGCCAGTGAGCAGTTTGTCCACATAACGTGAGTAACACCAGCAAGATGGATCCTTGGATCCAAGCTTCTGCTGCCAACATTTCAGTAAACGCTCAAAAACTTGACCAAGAAAAGAAAAAAAGGAAAAACGTTAAAGGAAAGTCTTTCAAACCAGATAGCAAGTAAAAGTTTATGAACATACACTGGCGTACAATATGATCCACAGGCATAAGCTGAGATTTAGAAATGTGTACAGTCATTTCTGTGTAACTTCTGAGGACTCACAAATGCGTGCACCCATCCACATACACAAATATGAAGCATTTTGACAATACGTAAAATTATTCAACAAATGCTTCCCTCCGAACCTAAATTAATAGTGATTATTTAGGCAAAATCTATTAAGGTGAGCTTCACGGATCGGATAAATGTTTGAAAAAAACAAGTAACGCCCCCTTCGCTCACTTATAGAACTTTAAATGCGCGTGCACCAATCGCCCAATGTACAAAGCTGGCAGTCTGAACTGTTGTTAAATTGATATTCTACAAATACTATTAGTGCTATCAGTTGACAAAATATTAAACACCTTGTTCCTCCCCTAATGGAGATTGCGCACAGGGCACACAAGCTAATTAACTAAGTAGAGCTAAGTGATCCGGGCTAAATGCTACGCCAAGGTAAACGGTGTTTCCACTAAAGACGACGTACATCTATTTCTAAGAGCTGTGCAACACAGCCAGGGGCCTTATGAACATAACACCAGGCACTTTTAACTCAATGGTGAAGAGACGTTATAAAACAAGTGTTTCGGCAGGTTGCCACATACCTCTGTTAATTTCCACCACGTTTGCAAAAGTTCCTAACGAGTTCTGTCCGCACTTCACAAAAAAGCCTCCAGCTTGTTTGGCGCTGTGAAGCTTTTAATATGAAGCAGCAGCAGGAAGGTGATAGGTTTGTATCAGCGGTAGCTTCACCAGTTTTGAATCAACTGTTGAATTCCGTTGCAGTGCAGGAATCGTTCATCTATCAAAATATTTAAATGTTTTATTTTGAAAGTACCCGTCCAAGTGCTTCCTCGGGTGTGCAGTTAGGTCAGCAACTTTCACGACACACATTAATTTCACTGAAGAACACTACTTAAACCAATGAGGAATGACTGACTGAGGAGGCTAAGTATGAAAATGAAAACCAGCCATTATAATTTAAACATTTATTTTATTGTTGCAAAATTATACACTGAAAAACCTTTGACTAAACAAACCCCTGCCCCAAACAGAGAAAGCATGCACTTTTTTTAAATTATTATTTTAAAATTA